AATGGACACCTCTTCCCTGCAAGTTCTGGACACCTCAGATGATGTCCAGAAGAGTGTCCATGGGACATCAGAATAGTCCTGTGGTGTAGTCCCCCTTTGGTTTGGGTTTGTTAACCCAGACAGATGTGTTTGACACCAGTAGGCTAGCTAACCCAAACCTCTAACCCAGGTTTGCTAACCTAAAACTTGATCAGACCAATGCAAATGCTCTTAGCCATTCCCTCTGGTCTGAACCATCTGGGCAGCAGGAAGCCCGCCATTGGATGACTTCCTGTCACAATCTATCATCCTCCCAGAAGTCAATCTACATTCATAAGACAAATGTTTTTTTTTTCTTCTCAAGTCTTCTAGAAATAATAGCGGGGTTCATGATAGCTTCTTGCAAGATGCAATTTCTTCTTGCGCAAGAAACTGCAGCACTGCTGCAGGCTTGAAATTTAGCGCAGAACTTTAAATTTTGCTGAGAAAATTAACGTCAGCAATGCGCAAGCAAGAAAAAAAAATAAAGGTTGTGAGAAGCGAAAAACACTATTGTGAACCCCGCTAATGGCGCTGATATGGGCTGGTTAGAATCTTCATTGTGGTGTTAATTTGGGAATGAGAAAGATCTAAAATGTAGCAAATTCCTCCTTTCCCTCATCACAAAAAAAATAAAGAAAAGAATGAAGGAGGAGGTTATATATAGGGACAGATATGCCATAGAATCACTGATCAAAACTTCCCAAATCCTTAATTCTTCCTTAACCAAACTTACATCCAGTTTGCATGATCAATAGAGGACTTCCTGTTGTCTGAATCACTTTATTGAGAAGGGGGTTCTAAAATCTATTGGCTGGTGAAAGCTTGATCTCAATCAATTTTTGGGAGAAAATTATCAAGTTAATTATAAGGATGTCCTTCCAAATCAACAAACTTGGACAACCAGAAGTCCTCCGATCTTATCATCTGCTTGGGATAACAATCACAATCAGCTTATGTGGAAATCATTGAGAGGATGCAGATTGATAGGTTGAAGGCTAAAGGAGTGAATTGGTTGAGTTGGTGTTGAGTGATGAGAAAGAAGAATGAATGAGAACCCAAGGAACAGGAAATGTGAAGGAGGCAGAGTGAATTTGAAATGGTTGCAGTTTAGAGTCAGGTGTGAAAATTAAATTGAAGGTGCATTTAAGCTAAACTGAATTGGACATTGAATCAGAACTCTCATGCATACTCACCACGGCTGGTGAGCTTGAGAGAACCAGAAGATCCAAAGCTGATCAAGATTTTCAAACCAGGTTTGGTGAATGCCAGCAACAATTTTGTCTGTGCAACTGAGAAGAATGATTTGGATTGATTGACTTCTTTTCTGATCTGTCCAATTATGGTCGTGAGCTCTCAATATGGCAAGTGTCCAAGTTCTATGAATGAGATCTTGTGGACCAATTTTTGGTCATACCATCAAATAATCAGGATCACTATCAAGAGTCTCAGAAGTACAAAATAGATACCAAACAAAAACATGGATTGACATTCAATCCCTTGTGAACAGAAGCCCTCAAACATATCAATGCCAACTTCTTTCTTAGATTAAATACCCAATACAAAAAGAAAAATATCAGTGGGTTTTCTCTCTCTCTCTCAAACTGGTGCCATCAGTTCATTTGTACATAGTTTAAATAAATCAGACGGTAAGGAATGGACAAATGTTTTTTCAACTAGCCAGTATGTAGAACCAATTACTGATTAAACTCTTGACATTTCTACAAACTCTATATTTGACTCAAATGATTCTTCTCTATGAATTCTATTTCTTCTAATTGTATGTTAGATGTAATGTTACCAGAATTGTTTTTTTATCAAATTCTTCAGCTGATTTGTGATTGGATCTCCCAACCCCACCCCCAAAAAAAACATGAATCACTCTATCCTTTCCAAAAAAGGACAAGGACG